AAGTACCATTTTCACGTAATGTGATTGAGACAAAGCTAGACCCTAAGGAGTCCTCTGGATTTTAATTCCTAGAATTACATCGGCAACTCCTAAGTCTTTCATATCAAACTTACTAGCAAGCATACGCTTAGTAGCTTGAATGTCGGCAATGTCTTTGCTCATTATTAGCATATCATCAATATATAAGCAAACAATGACTATGTGATTTGGAACGTTCTTAATGTAAACACATTTATCACATTCATTAATCTTAAAGCCATTTGACAACATTATTTGGTCAAATTTCGCATGCCATTGCTTGGGTGCTAGTTTTAATCCATAAAGAGACTTAACAAGTCGACACACCTTCTTTTTTTTTCCCGGAACCACAAACCCTTCAGGTTGGTTCATGTAAATTTCTTCCTCTAGATCACCATTTAAGAAGGTTGTTTTTACATCCATTTGATGGATTTGAAGACCATACAAGGCGGCTAACGCTATTTAGCATTCGAATGGATGTAATTCTTGTTACCGGCGAGTATGTGTTAAAATAGTCAAGACCTTCTCGCTGTCTAAATCATTTGACAACAAGTCTTGCCTTGTATTTGTCAATAGTACCATCGTCTTTCATTTTCTTCTTGAAACATTTAGAACCCAATGTTTTGTTACCTGGAGGAAGATCAACCAATTCCCAGGTATGGTTGCTCAATATGGATTCTATTTCACTATTGACAGCTTCTTTCCAATATTGTGCTTCTGAGGAAGACATTGCTTCCTTGAAGGTACGAGGCTCATTTTCTAGCAGGAAAGTCAGAAAATCTGGACCGAATGAAGTAGATGTCCGTTGACATTTACTTCTTCTTGGATTTTCCTCATTAGGCATACCATCTATTATTTCTTCCCGAGGTCGTTTTGACTTTTGGTAGGTCAATTCACTTTACTTTTTATACGGATAAATAGTTTCAAAGAATTCAGCATTATCTGATTCTATTATTGTATTAACGTGAATCTCAAGATTTTCTGATTTATGAACCAGAAAACGATATGCCTTGCTATTGGTTACATATCCAATAAATACACAATCAACCGTTTTTGGACCTATCTTAACCCTTTTAGGTTTAGGAACTTGTACCTTAGCTAAACACTCCCACACTTTGAAGTATTTCAAGCTGGGCTTCCTTCCATTCCATTTTTCATAAGGAATGGACTGTATTTTACTATGAGGTACACGGTTGCTTATTCGGTTAGCTGTAAGTATAGCTTCCCCCCACAAGTTCTGTGGTAAACCAGAACTTATCAACAACGCATTCATCATCTCTTTCAACGTTCGATTCTTTCTCTCCGCAATTCCATTAGATTGTGGAGAGTAAGGGGCAGTTGTTTGGTGAATAATGCCATTTTCCAAACATATTTCTTCAAAAGGAGATTCATATTCGCCACCCCTATCACTTCTTATCATTTTGATCTTTTTATTTAGTTGTGTTTCAACTTCACTCTTGTATTGCTTGAAAGCATCAATTGCCTCATCTTTACTATTAAGTAAATAAATATAGCAATATCTCGTGCTATCGTCAATAAAAGTAATAAAATACTTTTTCCCACCGCGAGATGGTGTTGACTTCATGTCGCAAATATCTGTGTGAATTAAGTCTAAAGGACTTGAATTCCTTTCAACGGACTTATAAGGATGCTTAGCATACTTTGATTCCACACATATTTGACATTTGGAATTAATGCAATCAAATTTTGGCAATACTTCTAAATTTATCATTTTTCGCAATGTTTTGAAGTTGATATGACCTAGGCGTGCATGCCATAAAGTGTTTGACTCAAGTAAGTAAGAAGAAGCATTAACTTTATTGATAGGAATTGCTATTACATTTAGCTTAAAAAGGCCCTCATTCAGGTAACCTTTTCCTACGTACACATCATTCTTACTTAGTACAACACTATTAGAAACAAAAATACATTTGAATCCATTCTTGACAAGAAGTGAGGTAGACACAAGATTCTTGCGAATTTCTGGAACATGGAGAACTTGGTTTAGAGTCACAATTTTTCCCGACGTCATCTTCAACGCAATCTTGCCAACTCCTTCATTTTGGCTGTAGACGAATTTCCCATGAAAATTGTCTCGTCGGGTCCTGCGGGGGCATAGGAAGAAAATAACTCCTTGTTAGCACAAACATGGCGGGTGGCCCCAGAATCAATCCACCATTCTTTAGGATTTCCTACCAAGGTTCATTCAGACAACATAGCACAAAAGTCCTCCATTTCTTCAGCATTTTCAACCATGTTAGCTTGATTCTTCTTCTTCTTATCATTCTTTGGTGCACGACAATCCACGACCTTATGCCCAGATTTTCCACAGTTGTGGCAATTACCCTTGAACTTTTTCTTGCTTGGGTAATTCTTTGGTCCAGAAGCCTTCTTTCTCTTCTTATTTTGTGACGCCTCCTCAACAATGTTAGTCCTTATTATTGTCGAGTTTCCACGTGACTTCTTTTCAGCATTTTTGTTGTCTTCTTCTATCCTCAAACGAACAATCAAGTCTTCAAGTGTCATCTCCTTCCGCTTGTGTTTTAGATAGTTCTTAAAGTTCTTCCACAACGGAGGTAACTTCTCAATGAAAGCGGCGACTTGAAAGGCCTCATTTATGACCATACCTTCAATAATAGATTCATAATTAATAACAAGATAAATCTTATTAATAAAATTATAGATTCGGGTCATACCTTCAGCAAGGAGGTCATGCACAATGACTTGTAATTCTTGGACTTGAGTTATGACCGACCTAGTGTCAATCATCTTGAAATCCAAAAACCTTGCAGCCACGAACTTCTTAAGTCCGGCATCCTCAGTCTTGTACTTTTTCTCAAGCGCATTCCATAACGCTTTTGAAGTTTCCATGACACTATAGACATTGTACAAGCTATCTTCCAAACAACTCAAAATGTAGTTTTTGCACAAGAAATCAGAATGTTTCCATGCTTCAGTTACAACAAATCGTTCATTATCCGGAGTGTCTTTAGCCAGGACCGGAGGATCCTCCTTGATGGATCGCTGCAAACTCAACGTAGTAAGATAGAAGAGCATCTTCATTTGCCAACGTTTGAAGTCAATACCGGAAAACTTTCCGGGTTTTTCTGCTGGTGCCATAGTATGAGCAGGAGTTGAACGGCTTGACGAGGCAGCAACATTCGTAACAGTAGCACCCGTTCCCGCAACATTTCCATTAGTTTGGTTTTCATTCGTCATGTGTCTGTAGAGTTGGAAACAAAACAGAACTTTGTAATCAGTGAAGTTTTGATATCTTCAAACTGAATACCAAACCAAACATACAATACGTAACAATGGTGAAGTTTTTATATACTTCAAACCCGTACGTTTATTATTCCGGTAAAGTTTTGATATACTTTAAACCGGACAGAACAATTATTGGAGTAGAAAGCACGAAGGCTTTAGTCTCCAAACCAGTATACAAAATATAGATAACAGTTTAATACATATTTCAACACAGAAATGTTAGATAAAATTCCTTAAGCTTGTTAATGCTTCTGTGTTAAAACACAAAATTAGAAAGACTGTTAGAAGAAAAACTGGAACAACTGTAAACTATAAGAAATATTCCGAGTCCACAATTTGCTTGTGCGCCCTTAAGGAATTTTAACCCCCTCACACGTTGCCAAGGTAATGGATTAAAGCCTCCCAGGATGAAACGGAATAAACCTTCCTGCAACAGTGGCAATACAAACTGCAGGATACCAACGAACTCAAAGAACGGAGAAAAATCACACTTACGAATTTAGAAGAGATTCTGCGAAAGAGAATGCAGGATTTTTCAGAAGGAAAGAAGTTCTGTAATTTTTCAGTTAATGGAAAAAAAAGCCATGCCTCAGAATTTATAGGCAATTATCGGAAGAGGTGTGATGTCTGTTCAGGAAAAAATATCTGTTCAGGAGGGAAAATTCCATTAAGCAACGTTCAGCAAAGGCTTAATTCTGTTAATGAAATGACTGGCATTTAATTAATTATTTAAATAAATTTTGTCCAAAAAATAATCTTATCGATCGATCATTTGACAAATCCAAATCCAAATCCAAATCCAAAGCCGAAGCCGAGCGAGCGACGACGACGGCGCGAGGGTTCATTCTCTTCAACTCCTTTTAAGAGCTCTAAGAAGTGATCCTATATATATACACACAAATGTAGTGTCCCTCACCAATGAGGGACAAAGTTCATTTGACAAAGCTCACTTGATTCAAATTTTCCAAATTTTTATTTCCCACCAATTCGCAATTCACACTTCTAGTCTTTAAAGCCCAATGGCTTAAAGTCCAACATAGGAGACTTTGCTCTCATCGGCGAATGGCTACACCTTTTCTCAATAGCGATTTTCTCCATTAATCTTGGTCCTAACCTCAATTGCTTTGTCTATTCTTGCTTATGTTCGAAAATTAGGATAAAAGCTAGGATTTTGCTCCTGAATCGGTATAAAAGATTAGGATTTTGATTAGACAGAATTTTAGATGGATTGGGATGAAGAAATGGAGAAGAAAGGTAAAAAGATGAGGAAGAAAAGTGAAACATAAAAAAGAGAGGAGAAAACAAAAAAAAATATATTTTTAAAAAAAAAAAGGCTAATTAGCCGGTAAACACTATGAGATGGGCCATTTTAACGGTTTTTTTGAGCCTTCACGCGTTTTTGACGATTTATTACACACATTATGTCACAAAAGCGACGAAAGAATTTTATTATAAAAGGGATATAATTCAAGGAATTTTGGAAAATATACAATAATTTAAATAGGTAGATGACAAAAGTTTTATAGTTTAAACGGATTTTAGGACATGAACTCTTTATTTTTTTAACCCATGCTTATAAATTAAAGATACGAGAAAAGAACTCGCTAAAAAGAAAGGGAAAAAAGGGGTCAGTCTACTTTGGTTCGATGGAAAAGCGCAAAACGACATCGTAATTATAAGTTTTCAAATATTTCTTGTCATTAAACCCAAGTTTTGTCAGCTACCTTAAAACTTTTGCCAACCGTCTGAAAATCTGGGCTCTGAGTGACACAATCTGATTCTGCTTTTCTCACAACACACACACAGAGAGTTCACACACACACACTCACTGTTTTTGTATATATATAGAAGAAGACAAGATGATGATTCAGGTTCCAGAAAAAAACCCTTCTTCCTGTAAACCCTGCGGCAAAGGTTAGCTGAATTTTACTCTCTTTTCTTCATTTTCTTTTTTTCATACGTTAAACATATATGTGAAGCACTCATTTCATGCCTTAGTGTGTACTACTTAAAATTAGTACCCACATTGAATTAATTAATCAGGAATTCTGATTTTATCTAATTTATTTTTGTTACATTTTCTGGTGTTTGAGAAATTTTAGGCATTGAATAAGCCTGTTTTTGAGAAATTTGCTTTTGATTTTTAGGGATCAAGGTTCCTTTTATCTTTTTATTTTTGTTGTTGAAGGGGTAATTCTGATGTTATCTAGAATTTTAATTTTTACAGGCATTGAATTAATTAACCCGTTTTAGTTTTCAAAATTTTTGTGTGTTGAATGGGGAATTCTGATTTTATCTTTTTTCTTTTTTAACATTTACTAGTGTTTGAGAAATTTTTCTTGAAGGAACTGAATAAGCCTTTTTCTTTATGAAATTTGCTTTTAATTTTTTAAAGGTTTTGGTTAGGGGTCAAGGCTATTTTTTTTCCTTGTTCTTTTTGCTGTTGAAGGGGTAATTCTGATTTTATCTAGAATTTTAATATTTACAGTAACCTGTTTTGAGAAAGTTGCTTTGATTTTTTTAGAGTTTTATGGGTCAAGTTTTTTTTTTCTTTTTATTTTTTGTTGAAGGGGTAATTCTGATTTTATATAAAATACGCATTGGTTAATTATGTTTTTGAGAAATTTGGCTGTTTGAATTATTATTTTTTTCAAGCTCTTTTTTTACCTTGGTAGAAGGGAATTCAGATTTTTTAAAATTGTTTATTCATATGTAATAGAAGCAACAAAACTGAACTTTTTCTTCTTGGCAGGCTGATTTACATTTCTAGAACAGGTAGCATAAAAATGGAAAATTTTTAGTTGACGGGCACACCCATCAATGGCTACTTTGTGTGTGTGTGTGTGTGAGAGAGAGAGTGAGTGAGTGATCCTGTATGTCTGTGTGTGTTATCTTGTGTGTGCGAGTGATCCTTTTTTTTGTGTGTGTGATCTTGTGCTTGAATAAGAAATTGATGCAACCTTTTTTTGTTGTTGAGTTTTTGGAGTTCTCAGATTTCTGATCAGAGGTTGCGCAGATGCTGAATTCAGGCGAAGACAAAAGCAATGTGGTATGCCTAATTTCATGTTATCTGAATCTCAAGCCCGTTATCTAACTTTAAAGTATGATTTTGGATGGACTGATTGTGTGTTCTTGAGGAACGATTGTATTTCTAAGCTACTTGCTCCGAGCAGCAATAAGATATGAGGAAACAGAGAAATAAAGAAAGATCCATTCAAGGAGATCTTAGAACTAGAAAGAAAGATGCAGTGGTCTTATTTTCTTTACATCATCATGTGAAGCCCGGAAGGACATGCAATATTTAACACAAGATAAGACTCACCTTGGTACTTGATACCTCAAAAAGGCGTCTCTTTTTTTCCCTTTGTTTTTCTAATTTGTCTCATCCTCCTTTAGAGGAAGTAATGTTAGAAAGAATGAAGAACATGCTTTTCCTTTTCGCTTGTGCATGTTAAAATGACCAAAATCTACCTCTAACTGTAACTTCTTGAGAAGAGCAGTACTGTATTGAAAGCTTTGTTTTGATTTTTGGATTACTAGTGTCTTTGATGCTGAACTAGAGACCATTGTGGAAGAGAGTCGTAGTTCTAATGTGTGTATATGCCATTCTTATCAAAGGCAGAAAGCACAAAAAAACAATGAGGTCTGTTGGGGCTTTAAGCGCAAAAAAAGCTTGAGTTTTAGGAAGAAAAACACATGGAATAAAAGAGAGAATGAAATTGAAGAATAATAAAACTATGGACAAAGGAATTAAACTTTTTTAACAATTACTTGAGAATTTTATTATTTAATGTCGCCTCTTCAGGACATCGCCCATTTACGATATGCATATGACTTAGTGCCTTGTGACTGCACTAAAGCGCTAGCTAAGTGAGATGAAGCCGGCAGCCCGGCGCGCAAAGCATTCCCCATTCACGCAGGATCTGGAGAAGGGCCGTACTCCAAGGGGTGTGGGATGAAGCGCGCAACCTATTTTTCGCGTAACTTGCGGGTTTAAGCGCGCATTAAAGAAGTTTTTGACAACAGTGACATGCACATACAATTTGCTTTCGTAATGTTTAAAGTAATTATAGTCGTTGGCGCTTCATGGTAAACTTGATGTTCCAACTCGAGAATTCAAGTGTTATTTTCACCGAAGGAGTATCAAACTGAATTGAAAGTCATAAGATTTGTTAAGGGTTTTAGTCGAAGTCTTAGTAGCGGTAGATTCTAAATTGTCAATTATTGAAGTAATCTTCTGTATTATGGAATAACATTTCTACAAATTTTCTGTGCACAGTAAACCATCCATATATAGATAGAATTCCACTTTGAATATAATATGTTTGGTATTTTTTTAATAACATAACATGAATTTTTGTAATTGAGGTATGCTTAATTTAGTTGGGGTACCACAATTATTTATCAAAAAAAAAAAAAAAATAGAAAAAGAAAACTTAGGATCAAACTTTTGGTGTGTGTTAAGTGACCCATCGATAGAGGGAAGGTTTGGGCAATCCTCATCTACTGAACTAGCTTTCGGGTTTGAGTTAGACTTAAGGTTCATTTCATAATATGGTATTAGAGTAGACCCCTATTCTTGGTTTATCTAATGTTGAGCCCCCAATGTACTTGGGACTCTACTTATTATTTTTCCGCAAAACTACATAACACCGTTCATGAGTGAAACCTTGCAGAATACCCAATTACCCTCCATGAACTCCAAGTCTCGATGTCGCTTGTCCAAATAGGACTTTTGACGACTTTAAGCGGTTTTCAACCTTTCCTGAGTGAGATTGATTTTTTCCATGGCTTAGTAGGCTAAGTCGGGGCTCACCAATAAAGCTCTATGTAGTGGTGCTCCATTGCAATATTTGAACCTATACCATAAAGGTAAATGGGGTGAGTATGAAAATACCCCGTAAGTCTCCTCGACTTTCGTCTAAACGATAGGACAAATTTTTTGAGATTTTATTAATTTACATGAGAAATATGGTTTTTATATTAAAGTGCATGTTTGGGGAAGGGGTGTTAAGTGTGAGCATTGATTGAGGAGATGAGTTATGTCTCCTTATATGGTTTTAGGCAATTCTCAACTTGTGAAATGATTTTTGGAGTTAAGTTAGGTTCATAGTATCTTCTAAAACAACGTGACCTTGAAAATAACCAATTTTAACTTTTATTGAATCAATACCTCTTTAGTCTCTTCTTTTTATTTGACACTTTACCAATAACCTTTATTTTATTAAAAGCAGATCCTTTAAAGGATTAATTCTCTTAGAGTTGAAATTCCTATTGTTGACCTACTTAAAATGAATGGAGTTATACTATTATGGAATAACTTTTACACTCATATAAAGCTTTCGTGATAGGTAGGTTCGCATTTCCTTTTAGACATGTTGTCAAAAGTGGAAAATGTGGAAAGATGCCAAGATTCGCCGGAGATTTAAAGACAAAGAGCAATGAAAGCATGAGATTTTGTAAGGCACAAATAAAGAAAAGTATAGTATATATTGTCGACATGTCTGACCATCTCATCAGAAGGTTAAGCTGTCAGAGAGAGCAGGTTTTGATTCTGGGAGATGGAGTTCATACTTTATCTACTTAATTATGTCTTCTATATGCCACTTCATGTGAGGGTGTGATTCTTTTTTTTTTTTTAATGGTCCAAGCATGTGGAAGTTCTTTTTGAGAGCGGGTGGCAATGAAAGTCAAATCTAGGACCTTTGTTTATTTTGATACCATGATGAATTATGGGATGCAACAGAAAATAATTATAAAGATAAACAACAAAACATTTAAGCAACTACTAACGGTTAATATATCGCATTAACAACTATATTTTTATTACTTAGCACTAGTCTTTCAATATAGAGCCGATGCATGATAAGGTGCAGACTTTAGTGGCAATTAGTGCCTGCACTGAAGTGCCGCCTAAGCGAGAAGTTTCCATCTATGCTGCACCTAGCTTCAAGGTTTAACATAACAAATTATTTGTAGTGACCTTAGATTTGAGCTCCCAATTTTCTTCAAGCAAGTCAAACTAAGAACCTAAGTTGCTCGGACTCTCCAAAAATGTTGCCGCACCCGTGTTGGATCCTCCTAAAATACACTACTTTTGGAGGATCCGACACGCACCCGACGGCATCTTCCGAGAGTCCGAGCAACATAGCTAAGAACTTATTTTAAAAATAATGTTTTTTATACCGTAACCAATTAAGTTGACCTTGAATATGAACCTTGAAAAGCTCCATAAATATGTCAGCATGATTAATGACTTCATGCAACTGATCTTCTTAAAGAGAACTGACTATTCGTAATTCGATTTGTCCAAGTTTTACTACGCATGACGATTGGGAAATTAATATGTCTAGCTTGTTTGAACTTTTCTCTGCGATTTTCATCTTTCCGTCATTCTTGAATTTGATTCATCATTGTTCCTAAGGTGGGTGAACATTGGTTAAGAAAAGGTTTTGCACCACCATCAATTTTTAGACATGGACCGGTGCTTTTGGAAATTGGGTTTACTTAATATATTTATCTACTTCACATTAGCAAAGTGATCATTTGATAACTCAGACGTAATTATGTGGATGTATTTATTTAAAGACAATAAATCTAAAGCTTTCTTGTAAGCGACAAGATGATGTTTCCTTACATAAAAGCTTCTGTTACTAGTATAACAGATGAAAAGCTAATTCTAGTTATTCCAAATGATCTTCTTAGGTATGGGGAACTTATCTTGGTAGAGCCTAGTTATTAACAGTAATTACTAAATTTGGGCTTGTGAATCTGTTACAGAGGAAAAAAGTGTCATGTCAGATTTGGTGATAACTAAATAAAAATGAGTAAGTAATTGATACTCTATGAAACACCTACTCTGACCATCATAGTCAGAATAAAGCATTTGAATTCATTATATGAAGCTGGTAAAAAGCTGTTTATGATAATAGTTTTAAACAAGTCTTTAGATTAATAGTTTAAGTATGAAAAAGTAGACAATTTAGTAAGGTGTTGCATCACACATGAGATGTAGAACTCAATGTTAACTTGTTAGCTTGAATGGTTGGAGGGAGGTTTTCTATTCAAGGAAAGCCATTTTTAGATGGATAAAAAAGAAAAGTACGTGAATTTTGTTAGAGCAAAGAGACTGAGTTTTTTCTTAAATGCCTTTAAGAAAGTGCCAGTTGTGAAACTTTAATGATGTAGCTTTGCCTTGTTTAGTCATAAATGGGCCTATTGATGATATATCTTAATTTTTTAACCACTTTTCACTAGAATAACTATTTCTAAAAGGAACAGTCTATTTTTGACGCTTAGTAAATTAGATTCACTGTTCTACTATCAAATTTTGTCCGTGTCTGAACACAAGAAAAGTAGAAAAAGTGATGGAGCTGTAAAATCGTTCTCTTAACCCCCTTGCCCCTTTTGTATACGGTGAAAAAGAAGAACAATGAATAAGGGAAAAACGAAGATCGGAGAGAAAATTTTGAGGAAGCAAGAGTTAGAATTTTATGAATTACCTTCTTCGAGAAGATCTAATCAAAATCAGATCCGTCGCAGGAGGGCATTTCAAACAACTATCTTGGTCTGATTTTAGTTGTTTGATTTCGAATGTTGAGAACCATACTCCTTTTGGCATTTGATATATCTAGATACCCATTGACAAGTTAGATGCATGCACTCATCTTTTATTTAGCATTTCTAACTTATTTTAAAAATTATTTATTTCTATTTAAGTCTTGCAGTCTCGACGACGCTTTCCTTGGGTTTAATGGGAAAAGATTGAATGAGTTTAGATCTAAAGCTTGCCATTTCTATGTGATATAATTATTGATTCTAAATGTATTCTTCCTTTTTATGATGGTGGTGGTGGCCCGGCCAGCTTGCGCGTTCCTCGAGTATTCCACCTGGTACATGCTACCTCCCACAAGCACATGTACCGGGTAACTCTGTCCATCAACGCTTAGGCAGATGGGAAGAAATCACCTAGTATTTTTTTCCTCCTCTAGTATTCTAGATCATTTATGCTGCTTTCATGTGACGATGTGGACTTGACTTGGTGCGACACTGTGGACTTGCTGAAATCACGAGAAGACTGAACTCGGCAAACCGATGATAAGAGTGCAGCATTTTGAACATGTATATATACTACATGTCGGCTCAATTATAAATAAATAAAAATTAGTAGGATTTGAATCCTGAGATTGTCGGTTGGTATATACCTGTCAATAGCTGTGCTATTTTAAAAAGAATAGTAATTGGTAACACTCATCCACCAAAAAAAGAGAGAAAGATTGGTAACATACCAACACACCCCTACCAGGGTTTCGAGGCATTGGCTCGAATGTGAAAATTTGAAGACATAAATTTAAGAAAATTAGAAACAGTTTTGAGGATATTATATTCTGTTAAGTACTTATGTGGGTTTGATATTATTGGACAAAAAAGGCGCATCTTGGAAATTGGGTAGTTTTCAGCATTTTTTTTCTAGTAGACCCTGCTGCTTTTACTTGTATTGACCATTTAAGCAGGTGATATTGAGTCAACACATGTCTAGAGTACTCGACTTCGTTCTTGCCTTCTAACTAACTAGTTGGAAGCTCTAGTTCCTCAACAAAGTCAGGTTCTTTCTCTCGACAAAAGTAGGCATATTGAGAAATGTTGATGAAAAATAAAGCACTTATACACTCTTTTGGGACTATATTGAGCCCTTTCAGAAGAAGAAGCTATAGTCATACACATCGTACAGTTCCACCACTGTCTTAGTGCTGCTGTTTTAAATTAAATTTACTTATGAAAATAGTGGGCTTATTGAATATCCTAGTGGTTTGGCTGGGTAATGTGACGGTTGCTGCATTCAATTGTACCTTATTATCGAATTACTTCATCTGCCCTTCCATCAAAACATGGATGCACACGTCGGTTACATTGTTTATGTAATCAATTAGCTATATGATATTTGATTTGCTTATTGTCAGTCATATATTTGCTAGACTAAAACTGTATAATAATGTTTATGGAGCCAGTATAATAAATGCAGCCCATTTGCTCATACATAAGTGATTTTCCATTACAGTATGCCATTCTATGTATATCAAGTGACGAGGTGAATTATTTTTGTTTTTTTGAAGGTCCAACTGCCTGAAGGAGTAACGCCATTTATACATATTAATCAGAATGAGTTTCTAGGGCGAAAGTGAGCTCAATTCCCTTCTTTGCTTCTTTTAATTATGATCTCTCTGCCAATTGCTGCATTCTTTCTTTTGGTAATTATGAGTACCACTTGAATGGTATGTGGCTATAGTCACGATCCAAACATCTTAGTTTCGGATATCAAAGATCTGGAAACTGTGGCTATACGAAAGAGATTGGTTCCTTAATACTATTTTCACTGGTAAGATAAAACTAGACCCCCCAAAAAAAAAACTTTGATTAATTGTTGTACCCTGTTCCATGCAGAGGCGGATCCAGGATTTAAATTCTATAGGTTCAAGTTTTAAGATTTTTAACATTGAACCATTATATTTTTAAAGTTATGGGTTCAAATCTATTATTTTTGCAAATTTAATGAAGTTTTACACATTAATTTCTCCTCCGCGTCGAAAGTTATGGGTTCAATTGAACCCGTAACTACCACACTGCATCCCCCTCTGGTTCCATGTTGTGCCAAGGATGCTGTGGAAGTATGAATCTAATGGCAAGAAAATGAGTAGAAGAAGAAATTTAAACTCCAGTTTATGATTATCTGGTCAAGCTTAAAGGGAAGAACTTTCTGTGAGTCGAAACTAATATTGTATAATGCTTATGTTTCATCTTTTTCTTTGATCTATAGAATGGAGAAGCATAATTTCTTTCTGTAATAGAGAAATAAATTTCTTTTTCATACCTAAGAAAGTTTTCGTGTCCTACATGCTCATTTTGTTATGGCTTTCTGTCTTTCAAGATTGAAGCTTCTGATGCCTTAACTTGAATCCCAAATAATCACCATAAAGAAGACAAAGAAAACCTGTGCCCCAAAAGATGCATACCTTGATCCGTTCACCTTGATTTAGTTCAGTCAATTTTAATGTGGAATGTTCTGTTGTCTTACAGACATAAGAAGCTGAAAGAAGAGGATATCGCTATTTGTGAGTGCAAGTATGATGCCAGTGATCCTGAAAGTGCATGTGGAGAAGGATGCTTGAATGTACTGACCAGCACTGAATGTACACCAGGATACTGTCATTGTGGTGAGAATTGCAGGAATCAGGTAAATTAGATGATTCCGTTAATTAGTTGAACATTCTCTCTGATGTTTCTCTTTATTAGTACACTTTACAGTGGTCTTCCTGATGCCTAAACTTGCAACAGATTTTATGGGAAGTGCACCAAATTTGTGTTACCATTATGTGTTGAGAAAGAGAGTGAAAGTAGTGGTATTTTAGAACTTCTATGATAAGCTCAAAAAAGCCATGTCAATTGTCACACCATTACCTTTCTTAGTGCTATTCTAATAATTACCTTCTGAAGGAAAAAACCATGTCACACCATTTTTATAGCTTCTCCTTGGTGTTTATTATTTGTGGATGGGTGTATAGATTTTTTTTTTTGGAAAAGGTGAATGTTTTATTGATAGAAGGTACCAAGATGGTACAACCGTACAAGTAGTACAATTACAATAACAAAGGGAATGCAGATCAGAACATAAAGAACATAAATATTACATCTACTGTCTGCCCCCTGGCAAGTCCAAGAAATCCATATACTCATTTGTGCTACCAATAAGACTACCCTTACACCATAAGAAAAGATTCTGCAAACATTTGTTCTTAATTCTAGAAATGTGGTCTCTTTGTCCTTCAAAACAAGCTCTATTCCTCTCCAGCCATAAGATCCAAAATATGCATATAGGAATAGTATTCCAAATCTGTTGCAAGCTTTTCTGAATCCTCTGCCCTTGCCAGCACTCGAGTAGGCCCCTTATGCTATTAGGTATTGCCCAAGAGACACCACAGATACTCAGAAAAAGGTCCCAACATTGTCTTGAAATTCTACAGTGCAGAAAAAGCTGTTCAACTGATTCCTGAACCTCCTCACATAAGTAGCACCTGTTAGCCAGGAGAAAACCTCTTCTTTGGAGATTTTCTTGAGTTAAACAGACTCCCCAAATTACAATCCAACCAAAGACCGCTACTTTTGCAGGGGCTTTTGTCTTCCAAATCATCTTCCATGGCCAATTATGTTCACAATAGCATGTCTGCCTCATCAACAACTTGTAGCAATTATTCACATAGAACTTTTTATCCTTGCTATTTTTCCAGACCAGAGAATCCCTTTTATTAGTGTCAATATGCACTGTTTCTAGTTGTTGCATCATCTGACAGAATCCTTCTATCTCCCAATCATTCAAGTTTCTTCTAAAATTAACTTGCCAACCTGAATCTGAATAAAATTCAGCTATAATAGTACCTTCCTTGTTGATAGAATAGTTATAGAAAGTTGGGAATCTGGTTCCTAAGCTCTCATTGCCTATCCATGTATCAGTCCAGAACCTGAACCTTGCACCATTGCCCACTTCTAAACTGGTATGAGAAAAGAATTCATCCCATAACCTGATTATGTTCTTCCAGACCCACCCTTTTGTGTGAGAGTTAGTTAAACTTGGTCTCCATCCCTCCTTTACTCCATGAACATCTTCAATTATTTGCTCCCAAAAAGCCTCATCTTCTGTACTATATTTCCATAGCCACTTGAAGAGCAAACTTTTGTTGTGCATTTTCAAGTCTCTAACGCCCAGTCCTCCCCATTTTTAATCCCTTATGACCTTATCCCATTTGATTAGATGCATCTTTCTCTTTTCAGCACAACCTTCCCGTAGGAACTTATTCCTTAAGGAGTTCAGCTTTTTTTCAACACCAACTGGTGATGTAAACATTGCCATCATATAAGTGGGAATCCCGTCAAGTACACTATTTTATAAAAATACTTCTTTGGAACTAGAAAACTATCAAAAAAGGAAAAAAAGGAAAAAAATAAATGCTGCAAATTTTGAGAAAAGCTTTTATGCAGTCCTGAAACTATTCAACCAAGAACCGCCAAAAGCATTTCTACAACCAATCCTGAAATTATTCTACCATAAACTTTTTCTAAAACTAGCTTTAAACCATCTTATCATCCTAAAAAGGTCAAAGCATCTCCTCCCTGCATGGTGTGCAAAGGTTCAAAGCACTTCAACATGCTGTTCCTCATTTATTTCATGGGACAGCTTTATCTAGTTTCTTGTCTTGGCAGTTTTCCATGCTTTTACTTCTATATTTTTCTTCTTTATCAGCGTCCTTATGCTACCTTTTCCTATGCGCATCATGGGACTCATCCTCATACCCAAGTAGATCACCGGCTATTATTCTAAACATTTCCCTCTCTATCAGCCACTAAGAAATCAAGTTCTTCATATCAATCTGGCACAGAGAGCTTCTAGTGGAAGTGTTCTTCTTCGATAAACAAACCTTTTTTAAATAAGTGTGCTATAACTGAACCTGTTTTACCTTCCTCCATCATCTTTGCTTTCCGTCACCCACCCTCTTTTAAGATGAACCATCAGATTGGAGGCCTATGGCAAACTGTTTCCTGCATCTACTGCTTTATGAGTGTCCATTTGTTGCTTCTCTTCTTTCACCTTCCATTGGGTAAGTTTTGCCCACTTCAAGCCACTTCTGTACCGTAAAACTATTCTAAAATACAGGTTTATTCAACAATGCTTGTTCTCCTGGCCTACTAGTGATTTCTTCCCATACAGGGCTAGGGGTAGCCCTCATATTCTTTGATTGATAATTCTACACATCCTTTCTTACAACTGATGTAGAATTATTCTTGAACTTTTTTACTTTTTTCTTTTCTGGTTGGTTTGAGGAAGACTTAATTCCTTAATATTTCGTACCAGTTGTTCAATCCACATTTCTTCAGTTATTGACAGACATGTGAAGTCAATGGACTACCCATTTAGCAGTACATGTGATCGAGTCATTGACGCTATCATGCCGACCACATCAGCAATGCATTGCACATCACTAGTCTCTATCCATCAATTGCTACATAAACAGCCACATTAATTAACATGTCAAGTAAACATTTCATGTTGACTAACCTGTCTTGTTATTTCATTCTAGTAAACCTGTCGAATCAAGTCTTGTTGTCAGCAAAAATTTCTAGAGATCAAGTATTCGTGTGGTAAGAGCGGCGCATATGATCTATTACTTGCCTGTTCAAAAAATAAACTTGATTGTGATAGCTAGAATGTGTTTATACTTTTCTTATATGTACAGGATTGATTGTACAAATTTTATATGAAATATTCTTAATGGTTGTATTATAAGTCTATAATTAGGCATCTATGTAACTAGGAAATCTTCCTTGTTTTCTGTAGGCTAAACTCCTATAAGGAGCTCTATTTTATGTTGTAAATCGCTAACTAGTGAACATTTTCTCCCTTCTTTTCTCTCGTTTCATACCTTTGATTAAAAACATCTTTTGGCTGTTAAAAACACCATATGTTGCTCATTCTAGAGGTTCATGTGTGATATGAGGAAGTTGAGTTGTATAAAATTTTCATCCTATGCTCGTGCAGTAAAGAGTGTTATTGTTACATGTATGACACCCTAGTATCTGCTCTTTATAACTGTAAGTAGTGACTCATTTGTTTAAAGATTTGGTTGTAGCAAGAAGGTTCTTTGAAAAGGTGTGATATTTGGGTTGGTTGATGTTTTGTGATAAAATACAACTATCAAGTACTCTGGCAATCTGTATATTTGTACAGCAGGTTTCCTATTTTATCGTGGTGTGGTTAGATGATGCTTTGGAATTTAGTGGTTCATCTATCAAATATGTCAAGGAACTGGGAATCACTGTTTGGTTGAACTTGCTTTGTTCCGAGCAGCTGCTGTAAAGCATAATTGCTTTTAGTTTTTTTCCTAGTTATTCCTTGATAAACAAAAACCTAAAATTAAAAATAATTTCTGCTTGTCATTTTGTTATTTGTGTTTAGAATTTTCTTTCTTCACTTAAATTTATCCTTTGAAAGATACAGAGTGAGTATCATTTTAGATATTTTTAGGTATGTTGTTTTGAAGTGTTTTGCTTTCTATCCACAGAGATTCCAGAAATGTGAATACGCGAAAACCAAGTTGTTCAGGACTGAAGGGCGTGGTTGGGGTCTTTTAGCTGATGAGAATATAAAGGTAATTCTGCAGAAGCGACCAGCCTATTTTCTTTTCGGGTGACCAATTAATTTTTATAGCATAGTTTCCACATATAAAAAGATTTTTCTTTCTTTTACTTTTTCCTATAAAAGAATTTTCTTTTGTTGACAATCACGTGAAGAGAAAATGTCCGTAGCTGAGCCTATCAAATTTGAGTTCTCTGCAATATATCAGAGGCTTTTGCTCAGTAACTGTAATTATGGCTTATTCTTAATTAGCTGCAATCAACCAATTGTTCCTCTCTTTACATGATTAGGCTGGACAGTTTATCATTGAATACTCTGGAGAAGTGATATCATCTGAAGAAGCAAAGAAAAGGTCTCAGGCTTATGAAGCTCATGGTAAGTTATCAGCATTGGGGATGGTTGTCAATGCATCTACAGATCACTACTACAATTTCGCATGATTTGTGCAGGGCTTAAAGATGCATACATAATTTCTCTGAATGCTAACTATTTCATTGATGCCACTCGGAAGGGAAGTTTTGCAAGGTTCATAAATCATTCATGGTAAGTGCTGAAATGTCAGCTGTCAAATTGTTAAAAAGTTAAATAAGATACAGATCTTGGTAAGTCAGTGCCTCAGTGGCATATTATTATGGTTAATTGGTGTGGAATGACAACACTGATACTGTGTTCCTGAATTTCCCAGCCATCCAAATTGTGAAACAAGGAAATGGACGGTGTTAGGGGAAACAAGGGTAGGAATATTTGCAAAGCAAGATATATCTGTTGGAACGGAGTTAGCATATAACTATAATTTTGAGTGGTATGGGGGTGCAACTGTTCGTTGTCTATGTGGAGCTGCAAAATGTTCTATATTTCTGGGTGCCAAGTCTCAAGGATTCCAGGTAACATATGGTTTCTTGTGAATTGTTATATCTAGAATGCCCTTTATAGCATCATTTCACTTATTCCTTCTTGCCCGAATTCAAACAAACAAACAGATTTATGATTTATGCATATAGATTGAATTTGCTAGTCACATACCACAATCGGCGAGTCACATGTTGTAGTATGGTGTATCATTACAAAAATCAGTTTCTTTATGGTAGAGGGAGTAATATGGTACCTTTCTCAACAAAAAAATGTGGTAAAGGTGCTCATATTGATAAACGTAACCCGGGGGGAGGGGGGGGGGGGGGGCAGCTGCCTTTTGGCATATGCTTTTTTCTGTTTTCTAGAGAATTGTAGATGTTTCTAAATTCAATATCAGTCCGTGAATCACATTTCTTATTCTTTTGTTGCCTTCTTTTTCTTGGCGCAGGAGTACAACCATGTCTGGGAAGATGGGGATGTCAGGTAATGCTCAACTTTGTTTGTTGTAGTAGTTCTTACAAATCCTGAGCTTCGTGTTCTATTAACTTGATTTTGTTTGATCTGTTGATACCTTAATGCAATAGGCAGTGGATCTGAAAACGTAAAAGTCAATGAAAGTGAAAACCTAAATAAAGTGTCTGAGCTGTGTTAGATTTGCAATTTTCTCCTCATCTATTTTCCTCTTCTGTTTGTTTCTTTTAATTTTTTTTTAAAATTTGGTAATTGTGTTGTTCTTAAAGGGACATCTAATAAAATTGGAACGATACAAAGAAGATTAGCATGGCCCGCGCAAGGATGGCATGCGCAAATCAAGAAATGGTCCAAAATTTTCAACTTGTTTGGGGCTGAGGCGTAATTGTTGTTGTTGCTATTTGTGTTCTTCCTTGTGTTGTTAACTCAAAAAAAGAATCAATTTTTTTTTTTTTTTTTTTTTTTTTTTTTTTTGTGAATTACGAAAAAGGAATTGGACCTTTGGGTTCACAACTGAGAGACTGGACTTGTATGTTTTTTCTTAGAAGACTTAAAAGTAGTCTTGCATTCAGCATATTGTCCTAAATCTTCAAAGTTTTAGATTTATCTCCAGTAATTCTTCAGGAACTGACCTCTTTCCATTACTTTTACATCTTCATTCTCTCTTTAAAAAAGAAACATTAGTGACACCATTCAAACCTCGGTAGATAATATAACTATGAAATGATAGATGGTATGGAGAGAATATACTATTTTCTGAGACATTGCATGTTTAAGTAATAAGGGACTGATCGTTGGATTTCCTCAGCTTCCTACTGTGATGTAAAGGAACTGCTTTGCGTGTAGTTTGGCACAAACTTCGTGCTTCTATTTATAAAATCTTACCATTCTCAACAAGAAAAATAAAATAAGGGACTGCTTGCTGATATACAAAGCGTAGCTAATATCCAGATGAAGCGTGTTTCGTTTTGGTTCAGTGTTGGAGGACATAAGATTTACTTTCTAACCGAATGATATAATTAAGGCAGTTCACTTATTTGTCAACTGTAATAGGAGAAAAATCTCACCTAGTGCTTTACTAGTTTCATCGGAGAAAATTCCCAAAGATATTGTAGTTTGGTGCTACAGCTTTTACAACATTCTTTTTAATTATTGAATATTTGTTTCAATCTGGCTAATCTTAATGCAGATATTCAGTGGAGGAAGTTCCACTTTATGACTCAGCAGAGGATGAACCTTTTCCAGTGATCTCTGGAATTGGAACTAGTGGAGGAAATGAGCACACTATGTGCAAGTTGGAGCTAAATGCTGTGGAACCGCATTATTCAGCTCCACCCGGCAGCATCGAAGTAAAAGCAATGACCACTGAGGTGAATGAGCAGGGTCAGTTGTATCCTATAGATATCCAGCAACAACTTCAGCAGGCAAATCCAATATCTCGCATCCGAAGTAATAGCACATCTAGGAATTATAATATTGGATCTGGTTCAACACCAAAGAAGAAGTCTCAACATATTCCCAAGCGAAAGGTCAAATCTTCCAGCCGTAAGCAAGTGAATGATGGCGATTTTGCTAAAATGTTTGCATCAAAGGAAGCACGGGAAGAAGTTACTAAATATGAGGTATGATCCCTTTTTCTTTGTCACATATCATGGTGTAGGCAACTATAAATCCACTCTATCGACTTATTCTTTCATGTTCTTTCCTGGGCTTGGCAAAGAAACTAAGGTTTTAACTCCATTTAACTTGATGAGATCTTCTTTCGGTAAAGTTATGGATTTACGAGAATGTGCTCTAAGGAATAGTATATCTTTAATGTTAACTCCAAATTCGCCTCGTTGCGCCAACCATATTTTATGTGCTCTCTCAATCTTCTCTCTTGTTCGTTTTATATATTGTTATGGTCTGTGGATATTACTTTATTTAATTTTGTGGTTCGCAGTGGAACACAGTTCTATTCTGTTATACACAGCATATTGATGGCCATATTTATACTCCTACACACTACAACAATACCAATGTTTTACTGATTACTTAACTCTCCGCATTTCTCAGCCTGAGTTCCTTTTTCTGTTGGACCATAGCAACACTGTCTGCTATGTTTTCAGATGTTTTATAACAGTAACGGTATTGTAGTAGTGCGTAGGAGTTTTCAAAATGTAGAATGGTGATGTGTTGTTGAAAATCCTTAGAAGTTGGAAATGTTTTTAGCATTTTTTCAGTGGATTTGGATCATTATCTGTTCTTTATCACTTGCGAGAGATAAGAGGGAACGAGAAAACCTGAAAGAGGGGTTTGTTGGGGGGG